GAGTTTCAATCATTTTTTAGTACAACATAATAAGAAAGACAAGATTAACCGAGGTTRTTCAAACAAGCATAAGACAACTAAAAGGTATTACCGTAGCAATTGGGGTTATGGATTTTCAGTTTATGGGGGGTAGTATGGGACCCGTAGTCGGGGAGAAAATTWCCMGTTTGATTGAATACGCGAAGTTGGGATCATAAAAATTAGTTGAGAAATTGTAAAATTGGATTTTACTGACAATGCAGCTCCCATACTTTGCTAATGTATAACTCACAAACTGTAAGTCGTAATAAGCTCGTATCTTGCAACAACTTTCATGAAGGGTCGAAAGTCAGTTATGACTTTAATTGGCTCGAAACAGTGTGTTTTCGAGGTTGTTTACACTGTATTTGGGATTAATTTGTTTTTTTTTGTAAAATTCGTATAAAATATATGGATAATCAAAATGAGGTGAGTAGATTCATATATCAAAAGTAATACTGATTCTTATGAATTTAATATATAAATGTGATCATCGATTCATTTAACTAACTTCAATAATTTAAAAAAAATTATCGTCATCGCGCAACGCGCGATATCAAACACTAGTTTACTAATAAGCCAAAAAATAAATAAATTAGAATAGTAGATAATTAAATCAACGTAAGTGACTGATAATAATATAAAAGTTTTGATATAAAAATAATAATTAATCTTTTCTTTTTTGATGACCACAGAAAAGAGATCCCATATTTGATTTCATTGGTATTAGACATAAATTATAGTCAATAAAACACAAAACCAGATAGCAAATAAAGATTATAAGAGGATTTAAAGAAACAAAATCTATAAACATTTGAATTTATTTATAGTTAACATCATACTATATAAATATGTAGAGCATATTTAATAAATAAATCAAACAAAATTTATCAAAGTTATACGACACAAATAAATATAAATGACATTAAAATAGAATTAATTTAATTTGATAACATGATATATGATAAGTACTTAATAATAAAATATAAACCAATCAATAATTAGTAAAAAAAATATGAATTAACCTTTCTTTAGTTTACATGAGATTCAAAAGCAAATTTTAAGATTTTGATGGGTTAAATGATATTTTCAATTTTCTCCTATAATAACCTTAAACAAATTTTAATTTATATGCTCATGTTTTATGCATGTAAAGAATATATATATATATATATATATATATAGGGGCCCATTCAAGGGATAACTGAATAATGTGTGGTAACCGTGAGATTCAATCTCAACCACAAATCAATAGATAAATTATAAAATTTATAATTTTGGTAATTCTCGATTCAATAAAAAATCAGAAACAAATCGAAATATCTCATAATCAACCATTTCGAAATAAGGAAATTCCCCCCTTTTTTACTTGTTGGAATTGTTTTTAATTAAAATTTTAATGCAATGATATTTTAGGTATTTTCTCTCCTCTCTTCGTCCCCGTCTTCCGGCCACCTTCCTCCGGTGATACCACAGTATGATACTCAAACACATATAAGATGCATTGTGATACCACTGTGTTACATATCCGATCGACCACACAAACGACCTCAGTGTGATACCCAATCACATATAAGATGCATTGTGATACCACTGTGTTACATATCCGATCGACCACACAAACGACTTTAGTGTTATACCCAATCACATATAAGATGCATTGTGATACCACTGTGGTATCACCAGAGGACGGGGCCGGAGGCCGGGGGACGGAGACCGGGAGACGGAGAGAGAAGAGAGGAGAGAAGAGAGAAAATACCTAAAATATCATTGTATTAAAATTTTAATTAAAAATTACCAAAATTAAAATTTTCTTAATTTATCTATTGATTTGTGGGTGAGATTGGAATTCACGGTTACCACAAACTAATTAGTTCTCATTTGATTAGGCCTATATATATATATATATATATATATATATATATATATTAACGGTATCGAAGTTCATAACTATAAGAATGCTTACTTGAATTATAGAAATGTTGACAACTGATTGATAAAGTTAGAACCCCGAAAATCTACCGATGAACTCATTGAGCATACATCCTGATAACTTATTATAAAATAATTGAAAAAGAACAACAATAAAACAGAGAGAAAGAATATGTAATTATCATCAATCATAAACTCTTTTCATTATGATGAGTTACAAGCATATAACTACGAGATATTTCACTTCTAACGTAACTATGATATATCCATCTCTATCATCATATTCTTTAGACGATAACACATTTATTATACAACAAAACCAACATTTATTATACAAGAAAACCAATATTTTCAAGCAACAATGATTATAGCCAAAAATAAACATGTGACGTGAACACAAATTTATGCTAAAAAGATAATTGCAAGTAGATTGGAAGAGAAAGACGTTGAGTGGTTTTTACTAAATTTAAGCGTAAAAACCTGATATATATACCAAAGAGGTTGAGTGTTGGCTGCCCTGCCCATGCTCATATTCAACTATCTAATGGATTATATGAATTCCCATTTTTAAACGAAATTCCTTTTGCCAAAGTTTCTTGCTCGTCGTTTTGTGCCCTTTTCTGGCATTATTTCCATTCCCCCTTGACAAAATTTACATAAACAGAACTTGGAATCACCTCTTCTTTTTACCCTTTTTTTTTTCTTTCTAGTCATACAACTTCAAATATCAAAGGGGATATCAAATATGAAGCCCCACCCTACTTCATTTTCAACTCCCTTTTCTCTCTCCCTCTGATCACTCTTCATCATCGTCGTCGTCAATAATCTGTCCAAGAGAATCTAGGGTTTCCAAGATTTGATGTTTCAGCTGTTTTAGACAAAACGCAGGTGAGAATTTTTGTTCCTTGAAATGTTTCTTGAAAAATTACCCAATAAAAAGGGTGTTTATTTAGTTTTAGGGTTCTGTCAGTTTGAAGCTATAAGGTGTTTAGTTTCTTTACTCAATAAAGATTCTACCCTTTTGTTTGTTTTGCATATGGTTTCCAAATACTGCATGCTTTTCATATGGGTTTTTGTTAATTTGAAGAATTTGAATTTAGTAAACTTTTGAAATTACTGTTGATTGATAAAGTCTGTATCTTTGTGTTTGTTTGCGTAGGGATTTTTGTTATCTTGAAAAGAAAGAATGGGTTCATATGTGGGTTTAGTTTATTTGTGGAAGCAATTGAGTTTGTTGCTAACCTTGGTTAGTTTTTGTTTGTTTATTAGGATTTGCTGAGAAATTTATGGTTATGAAATGAAAATAACTGTGTATTTTGAAGCTTTGTGTATGGGTGATCATGAATCATTGAAGTCAACTCAAGCAAACAATCATTTTTCTCAGAGTTTCATGTGATTTCTTTTGTGTTTTTGGTATGGATTGTTAGTCACTTGCAATGGAGGAGAATTGATTTTATTAGGGTTCTAAAGTTGTTTAAAATTTTGGACACCGGAGGTGAGGAATTCGAAATTTCTTCCCTGTTTTCACTCCGCGCAGGTGGGTGAGGATGGGGAGGGGAGGGGAGGGGAGGGGGTACTTATGAAGTTGGTGATCTCGAAGTAAAGTTATGTATAAGAAGATCTATACCACTAGTATTTCTAGTTGATTATGATATTTTTTGTTGATTAACCTGGATATCCAACCCGCTATGCAAGCCGACTAATCCAGGGGCGACCACCTGCTTCGTAGATAGCCCGAAGTCACCGCATTTGAACCTCTATGGCCACAAGGGGTTTTTTATTCCTCCTTGGATTTGAACCTGAGATCTCCTGGTACTTTTGACCTTTGAAGCCAAGCTCAAACCAATCAGGCACCACCCTTGTGGTTAGTTGGTTATGATATTTTACATTTTGCTTTTGGTACTTGGGATAGGACGGGAAAGGACATTAAAAAAAGCTGTCCAATAATTTGGCACTAGTCCAAAATAGGTGGAACAAAATCTGGGAGATTTGACAATATTGGTAAATTACTAAGCTACTCATGTCAATTAAAACCTTAAAGCCTTCAACCAATTCTTTCACCTGACTCTCGCTCGTCCCGTCCAGTCTTATTTGCTAGACTAAAGCCACATGGACACGTATGCAATTTGTAGTTGTTTAAATGTTCCCTTTTTTCGTCGGTCCCATGAAGGTTGCAACATTTTCCTAAGGTACGACATAGCATATCACTAGTCTCCACATCGAGTTTGAAAAGCAGTTCTCAAGTTATGTTTTAAGACATGCACTTCTGATGTGGGTACCACCCAAAGCGCATGTCTCAATCCACAATTTGGCCGACCACCAATCGAATTTGTGTGGGGATCGTAGATGGTTTATTACCTCTTAAAAACTGGCTTGATTATCTGTGAAATATCTGAAATACCCTTTAAAAAGAAAAACTAGAGGAATCATGTGAACCTATAGAACTAAGTCTTGGCAATTTTCATGAGACAGAGGGACTATTGTGAATTATTAATACTAGGACTATTGTAAGTTTCTAACAGAGGAAACCGCTGATCATCTTTATTACCCTTCAAATAATATAGACAAATATACTTTACGATAAGCGTTATTATCACGGAAACCGTACATAGAATGCAGACTCCCAAATGGTATTATAGCACTTCAACACGCCTAAGAAGGGAATGAGATAAGTGTAAATAGTGTCGAACACTTGCGTGGACCGTTTGGGTTGATGAAATGCATGATGGATATCAATTCGATCCAATGGCTACTCTCTAGAATTATATGTATTTAATGTTTAAAAATTTTCAATTATAATCTGTGCTAATTTGCATATATGGTTTCGTTTTCTGTTTCTTTAACAAAACTTTTCTTTTATTTCACATATTTTTATCAGTGGCTTTGATTGCATTCATGGTTCTGCCTTTCAGCCAATAAAATGGCAAAGTTTTGAACTTTCTAACACCATCTTCAAATGGCGACTGAAAGCCCAATTCGAATAATTGAAGCAAGTGGGAAATGGCTTGCGAAACCATCTACAAATATGGGCGTTGAGGATTTGGGGTTGGTTTTAAAGGGCCAAAGATTTCAAGAAAGAAAGAGTAATGTAGCTCCAAATCGAAGCGGAAGTGCACCACCAAGCATGGAAGGTTCATTTGCAGCCTTTGAGAACCTCATTTTTAGGCAAAACTTTGCGGCAGATGCTAGTTTAGCAAGTGGAAACAACGCTAGTGATACGTGTGAGTCGGAAGAGCAGCTTCGTGCTGACCCATCGTATTTTGCATATTACTGGACCCATGTAAATTTAAATCCGAGGCTCCCTCCACCATTGATTTCGGGCGAAAACAGAAATCTCTTCCGCAATGTACGAAGTAGTGGAAGTAATCGGAAATTGACATCTTTTGATGATTCTTTCAGCAGCTCTTTTCATCTGGATCACAGTAATCTTGCTACTCATAAGGAAGAGTCTGATGATGATAGATCATCGAAACAGGTAAAATATTTTTTTTTCATGAAAAACGCGAAAAAGTTGGAAACTTTCAAGATAGTATCGTCCTATGCCGGTTGCTAGAATTTTCATTTTTCAATTGTTAGCTACTAGCTTTCATTTTTTTGTCATTTCTTAGACATTACCTGGATAGATTACACTCTCACGTGTGTGTATTCCTATAAATATTTATGGGCAAAATTCATCAAAACGAAACGAAGTTTGCCTTAGTTCCTATTTAGTGTAAAAGAATTCTGTTCTGATGTAACATCGTTTCAAGATTTTCTATTTAATGTAACAAAGTTCCAAAATTTCTTACTTTTTTGCCCATTTTGACCGATAACCTAATGATCTTGTAACATTTGATGATGTGGATGTCAAGTTTATTGCCCATTTAGCCATAATCCTTCTGTAAACGGGTATCCATGTCATCAAATGTTACAAGATCATCAGGTTGCCAATCAAAATAGGTACAGAATGGGAAATTTTGGAACTTTGAGAAAAAAGTTATTCTTTACACTAAATGGAGACTAAACCGAACTTTGTTGCATTTTGATGCATTTTGCCCAATATATATACACATTCAAATATTATGGGTTATAAATGCAAAGTATATTTCCATACAGGAAGATCTTCCTCGAGTTCATTCACCTGCATATAATCAGTCTAGCCCGTTCAAACTCGAATCGAATGAGGAAGCAGATAATCATGATGACTCCAACTGTACAACTGCCAATGTTTCAAGTTCATCATCTATAGATGGTAGACGGGCCAATATGTCGATTAAGCCACCCGTGAACAAAAATGGTCATTCAGATGAGGATGTTTCAATTAGTGGTGTTGCTGATTCTGACATTTCCGGTTTAAGAAACAGAATAGTTGCTCTTAATATGTCCAACATTTCAAAATTAGAAAGCGAAAGAACCCAAAGGGAGCGGCAGCAAGAACACGTATATAGACAACCAAGAAACGCGTTTCATGTTCAGAATTACCACCCGCAAAATGGCATGAATTCGTTTCTTCAAAATCCAACCAATTTCTCTTCTGAGGTACAACCGATACTTCAGTCCTCTGGATTCACCCCACCACCTTATGCAACCGATGCCGCCTATATGCCACCTGGGAACCACCCTGTGTACCCAAATATGATGCCAACTGGATACTTTCCTCAACAATACACTATCGGTGGATATGCTTTCAACCCGTCACCTTTTTCACCATATGCAGCTGGATATCTTTCTAATACTCCTGTCCCGAGCTTTAGTGGTCAAAGTCAAACTTCTGGACTCAATTTGCAACATTTTAACAATTTCTACGGACACCTCGGGTTACCCATTCAACCTCTGTTTTCAGAAGAGCCAAAACCACAGTCTTTGGGAGCTGTGGGCCATATTAACTTGAACTCAAGAAGGGTGCATAATCCTAGCCCTTACTATTTTGGGAGCCCAACAAATATGGATTTCTTGCAATTTCCGACTTCGCCCTTTGCTAGTCCAGTAATGCCAGGATCACCAATTGGTGGGGCCGGTTACACTGGTAGGAGAAACGAAGGTGTGTATGGTGGATGGAAGATTCATACAGGAAATCAGGTTATAGATGATCCGAAAACATATTCTTTTCTTGAAGAGTTGAAAACTGGTAAAGGTTGCAGGTTAGAGCTATTAGACATTTCGGGACATATTGTTGAATTCAGGCAAGTTCTAAGCCGATTGATTACTCTAAGCTACTTTATCTGTCCCAAAATAAGTGTCTACCTTCCAATTCTACCCTTAGTTATGAGAGGGGGAAATCCATTACTCCGTCTATTAGTAAGGGTAAAATTGTCATTTAGTTAATTAGTAAGCGTAATAATTACACATCAAAACTGTGCCTTTTTCATTGTGGACATTTATTTTGGGACGGAGGGAGTATTTGTTTTTTTTTAGTTTATTTAAATGAAGTAATTCATCTTTACAACAATCGCTGCAGTATTGATCAACATGGAAGTCGATTCATTCAACAGAAGTTGGAAGTTTGTAGCAATGAGGAGAAGGAATCTGTGTTTAAAGAAGTTCTTCCTCATGCTTCGAGACTAATGATCGATGTTTTTGGTAACTACGTTATTCAAAAGGTGCGTGTCATGGCTTATTTTGTAATTCATTTGTTGCATCTTTTATTAGTACTAATTCTACACACACACTATGAAAATCGCAACGGTTGACTCGGGTCATATATTATGAGTAAATGTTCGACTTTTACAAAAGATTTCAAGTTCCCTTCAATAACAAATTAATGACAATCCGATGAAATCTTGTGGACCCATGTCAATGAAAACTTCCCACATGAGTAACCTTCTAAATTTTCATTAGATACCCAATAAGAACCTCCTTCCCAAAATAAGCGTCTACGTTTTTATGTTAGTTTGTCCCAGAATAAATATCCACTTTCAAAAGTAAGTGTTTACTTTCCAATCCTACCCTTAATGATGAGATGGAGAAATTCATTACTCCCTCTATTATTAAGGGTAAAATTGTCATCTGGTTGATTAAAAAGTGTAATAATGATCACACGTTTGTAATATTGTATACCCGTTTCATTGTGGACGTTTATTTTGGGACGGAGGGAGTACAATGGAATGAGTAGCTTAATTCTCGTCTTTGGTGTATTTTAGTTTTTTGAGTATGGAAGTGCCGAGCAGAGGAGGGAACTCGGGAACCAGCTTGAAGGTCAAATATTGCCTTTAAGTCTGCAGATGTACGGTTGCCGTGTAATCCAAAAGGTATATAGCTAGTATTCTAGTCCTCTTCTTGACGTTTTCTATCTCCGAACATTTCAAGTTATTTTTTTCTTTTTTTCTCTTTTACTGCGAACATCCTACCCTCAAGACCCTACCTCTGTGTGAGATATACTGAGCTCGTTTGGTTTACTGTGTTGAACGTTGCATGGTTCAATTGTGTTCTCATTTCGAATTATCAACCATTTATTTGTGTCTTTTTCATCCCATTGAGCTAAATTTATCGTAGGCCCTTGATGCTATCGAGCTAGAACAAAAAACAAAGCTTGTCGGTGAACTGGATGGACATGTTTTACAGTGCGTTCGTGACCAAAACGGGAATCATGTAATACAGAAGTGTATCGAGAGTATTCCAACCGAGAAAATAAAGTTTGTGATATCTTCTTTTCGTGGTCAAGTTGCAGCCTTGTCAAAACATCCGTATGGTTGCCGTGTGATACAGGTACGGAGGTGACTTTGAACTCATGGCGCCTTTATTTAGTACTGTTTTTTTCCTTGTTTATTTCGTTGACGATACTTAAAATCCATTTTTTTATTTAATAGAGGGTACTAGAACATTCTACGGACGAACTACACAGCCAATTTATAGTTGACGAGATTTTGGACTCTGTTTATGATCTTGCACAAGATCAGTATGGTAATTATGTAACGCAGGTTCGTTCCACTGTATCCTGATTTCAAGTTTTATAATAATGGCACTTTAGCGCAATGGATTTTATGATCTTGCACGAGGAGGCCTTCTTTGCCTTTCACCTAGGGGTTGTTTAACACTTACCGCCTCTTACCGGGTAACTAAACACTTATCGCCTCTTACCGGGTAAGAAACAGTTACTCGGTATAATGATTTTTACCAACAATCTTGGTGTGCAATTTTGCATACCAAGAATCTTACCGGTACCCAGTAAGTGAGCGTGGCGAGTCTTACCCTGTTAGTGCTTACCCGGTAAGAGACGTTTATGCTATGATATTCTGATGACCAAGTTACCGAGTTTGTGTTGGTAAAACGGCCCCTAAGTTGCTACATCCCACCTTCAGAACCTACTTTTGAATATGATACATTGGTTTAGTTTGGTAATTGCATCTATTTTGTAATCATGTAAATTACTTGCACGATGTCAAACGTTTATGCTCTAAGCTCATGCTCATCTTCGTTGTCACTTATGTACACATGTTTGGCTGTCGTACTTGCAGTATGTATTGGAGGGGGGGAAACCCGAAGAAAGAAGCCAAATCGTACACAAGTTGGCAGGCCATATAGTACAACTAAGCCAACACAAATTTGCATCGAATGTTATTGAAAAATGTTTGGAATATAGCGACCCATTCGCAAAGGAAATCATGATCGAAGAGATTATTGGATGTGCTGATGGCAGCGATAACTTATTGGTGAGTAAAATTGCTCCCTTCTCCCCAAAACAAGTGTCCACTTCCAAACGTAAATGCCTACTTTCCAATTCTACCCTTAATTACGAGAGGAAGAAATTCATTGCTCCCTTTGTTATTAAGGGTAAAATTGTCATTTAGTTAATTATAAAGTATAATAATTACAGATTTCTAATCTGTGTGCCTTTTTTATCGTGAACATCTATTTTGAGACGTGGGAGTAATCCTAATATCACCATTAACTTTTCAACCCTTGTTGACCGGCAACGAACGATCGTTTTTGTAACTATGTGTTATTTTGATGCCTTAGGTTATGGTGAAGGACCAATTTGCAAATTATGTGGTCCAAAAGGTTCTTCAAACATGTAGCGGCCACCAACGAGAAGTGTTACTTGGCCGTATAAAGATTCATCTCAATTCGTTGAAGAAATATACTTACGGGAAACATATTGTCGCTCGCTTTGAACAACTGTACGGTGAAGGTACATATCCATGAATCATTTTCATTTTTGTAGTTAAGCAAATTTGACCACTATACTCACGAAAAAACAGACACTCTACTAGTTGTTGAGTAGAGGTCAAGTCTGCATACATCCTCCCCCAAAGACCCCACCTCCCGGTGGGACATATTGGGCTTGTTTGGTTTGGTAAATTCGACCATACAAATTACAACATTTGACTTGACACATAGTTTCAGTATATTGATATTAGGTTATATATCATGACATGCAGAATTTGAAGCGTCAGGGTTATAACTTGCACCTGATCGATGATCACGATCTGCAAGATTATCCATGGAAGTGTTTCGTCGTCGGCATATTGATCCTGAAGAACCGAAGAGATATATTTCAAACGGGTAAACTATGAAAGTTGGTTTACGAACGAACGTCTGAAGCAGCAGTGGGTAGGGTTTTAGAGTTGGTTAGATTTGCAATGTTGTTGGGTTTGATGCTTAATAAGGGGGATTATTCAGAATAGAGATCCTTCTTAATGCTGTAAATAGCTGAATTACATGTTTAAGTTAAGTGTGTGGTTGTTCAACTATTCTTTAGAAATTACCAAAAGAAGGGTGTCTGTGTGCGATGTTTTTGTGTGTGTGTGTTACGGAACGCGGTTGCTGCAAAGTTATGCGGGCGACTTGACCTGCGGCCTAGCTCATGGCCAAAGTCGGGCTGCAATCACATATGATTTCAGAGTAAAATCACATGTGATTTGATCATTCTCGTGTTTATCTTGTTTTGACTATATTTTTGTTTGAATCCAACTCTCTCTGGAGTTGCAAATACAATTCATGTAAGTTTTACAAACTTTACAAACCAATTTGATCTTGTTAATTTACAAACCATGCAATTGTTACGAACTCTACAAACCAATCTCCACCGTATGTGTAGATAATTAATGGTGTGGAATAAATCGGTTCCTAAATATACTCTAAACCGTATATGTCGATCCCTCCCTCAGATATTAGGGTGTAAAATAAACGGGTTCCTAAATCTGGTGCGCGATCATTTTATTTTTCAGGAGTATTTTATTATGTCGATCCCTCCCTCGGATATTAGGGTAGCGTTTGTTTTCTAAGAGGTGTTGAGATCTAAAGTCTTATTTCATTTCTAATTAATAAGAGATGGTACTGAAGTCTGAAGTCTGAAATCTGAATGAATATGGCTGTTTGTTTTTGTAAACTGATAAATGTCTGAATTTGTTTAAATTGTCTAATTATTTATCCATTAGAAAATTATAGTGTTCATACAATTTCACATATTTATTCATTATCATTACGAAATTTACATCTAAATTATATAATTAGCATTCATTTAAACAAAAATATGTCATTAACGGTATTTAACACATTTAAATCATATTCAAATACATCAATTGAGACAGGTGAGGACCGATTTGTAAGGATCGAAATGAACGATTAAGTTAATCGATTGAGAAACATCATTGCTAAGAGTTTGTAGAATAATAAAAGACAAAAGAGGTTGGTTTATCTCTTATCAAACAAGAAGTGAACAAGACGCTGTTGGATCTTAAAAGATAAATTCGATTAATTAAATATTCAAGGTCTTAATTAGATATTATTAGATTAATATGTTTTATTATTGTTTAAATTACGTAGTTGGATGCAACGGTTATCAAGATTAAACTGCATATAAGAAGTGTCTGGATACATTGTATGCGATTGGGGGTGTGATAACCAAACCATCATGATGGTTCGGTGGTGTCTGTTCGCTGCATATATATATAGTACATGCTCTGTAAAAACTAATCTCTTATCTAATCTTAATCCTTGCATTTCTTTAGTAAAACTATCTCAATACTTTCAGCCTTCGTTTCCTACGTTTCCTAGTTTTCGTTGGTGCAAATCTGTTGTTGACGGTAGTCGATTGCACAAGTGAATAACCTGTGATTCACTAAGGAATCAAGAAGTAGCGATGGTGATTAATGGTCAAGGAGGACAAAACCATATTGTGTACGGGAAGACTAGGAAGAACGAGGGACGAAAATCACAACAGACGCAAATGCCTCTTAAAAATTGAAAAAAAAAAAACAAACAGTTTGAATAGCCCTACCTCTTAACTAATCAAACGTTTTAGTTTGAAGGAAAGTTTGGATTTAAAATCCTGGGATTTCAACAACTGACGAATTTATCAATCCCGGGAAGATTGTCATTTCAAATCCACATCTCATGGATTTCAATTGTTGCCACCCCACCTCTTTCATCAAATATGTCATCTTTCAAGCCAAACAAACAAATATTTATACAACAATTAAATTCATTCAGATTTTACAGATAAAGACAAGATTTATAGAATAATGGAATTGAATTCTATTCTAAATTCTATAAACCAAATGGATCAACAAAATCTTTCAAAAACATTAAATCAAACCAAACAGTTTCTTAAGGGCTTTTTACCTAAATGTTTGTCCGATAAGCATTTACCGTTAGGATTCAATCACTATAATTTATTTATTTTATCATGTAAAATTATAATACATCAAATCAAAACGTATCATGTTAAACAATTTACCAGATAAGCGTTTATCCAGATAAAAATCATCGCCCTCACTTACCGGTAAGATTCTTGTTATTGCTGGTTGTTAGAATAAATTAGCTGTTATCTTTATTTGTTTTGAATTAGTCTTTTTGGTTGTTGCTGTTAGTCAATAAGTCCTATTCTTTAGGAAGAATGGAGTTTGTTTTGCTTTTTCTGTTTTGTACGTGGCTATTTATAGCCCTCTGTTTCTAGTAATCTAATTGCATTCCTTCAGCACTTTTCATTGTTCTCTGATTTCCAACATTTGGTATCAGAGCTGAAGGTTCTGAGAGAGTGTGAGTATCAGATAAACACGAGGGTGAGTTTATCATAGAGAGATCAGCATGACGGCTCTGGTGAAAGAAAAGTTCGTCCAACCTGCTATTCCCAAATTTGATGGTCACTATGACTATTGGGCCATGACGATGGAGAAYTTTTTGAGAAGTGAGAGGCTGTGGAGTCTGATTGAGGAAGGGATTCCTACCTCTCCGGTTGGAACAGCCCAAGGAAGTGAAGCACAGAGAAAGAATGTGGAGGAGGTTAGGATCAAAGATATGAAGGTGAAGAATTTTCTGTTTCAAGCAATTAGCAGAGAAATTCTGGAGACGATTCTTGACAAAGGAACGTCAAAGGCTATTTGGGAATCAATGAAGCAGAAGTATCAGGGGTCTACCAAAGTAAGAAGGGCACAACTACAAGCATTGAGAAGGGAGTTTGAGTTGCTGTCCATGAAAGAAGATGAACGAGTAGACAGTTTTTTGGGGCGAACTTTGGCTGTGGTGAACAAGATGAAGTCGAATGGGGAGACAATGGAGCAAAGCACAGTTGTTAGTAAGATACTCCGTTCTTTGACGCCAAAATTTAATTACGTTGTGTGTTCAATTGAAGAGTCAAATGATCTGAGTATCTTGAGTATTGATGAGTTGCATGGCAGTCTCCTTGTTCATGAGCAAAGAATGCAAGGTAGTCTTGAAGAGGAACATGTTTTGAAAGTAGCCCAGGAGGACAGATYTGGACGAGGAAGGGGACGAGGTATAATGAGAGGGGGACGTGGAAGAGGACGAGGCMGRCAATCATTCAACAAAGCAATGATTGAGTGTTACAAATGCCATAAGTTGGGACACTTTCAGTATGAGTGTCCTGAGTGGGAAAAGAAGGCGAACTATGTCGAGTCGGGGGAGGATGCACAAGAAGATCTACTGTTGATGACTTGCACCGAACTACATCAAGCACAACAGGAAGAGGTATGGTTTCTGGATTCGGGCTGTAGTAATCATATGACTGGTAACAAGACWTGGTTCTCAACTCTAGATGMAGAATTTAGCCRGACAGTAAGACTTGGGAACGATATGAAGATGTCTGTGGTAGCTAAAGGAAATGTAAGGGTGAAAATTGGTGACATAACACACGTTTTTTCTGATGTTTATTACATCCCAGAGTTGAAAAACAATCTGCTGAGTATAGGACAGCTACAAGAAAAGGGGTTAGCCATCTTCATTCAACATGGCACTTGCAAGGTTTTTCATCCTACAAGGGGAGTAATTATGCTAAGCAACATGAGTAGAAACAGAATGTTCTACTTATCAGTCACTGCACCACAAAACCACGTGTGTTTTCAAGCTGAAAGTGTGTCAGAAAAGGAAGCACAACTATGGCATTGTCGATTCGGCCACTTGAACTACAAAAGTTTAAGAACACTCTTCKACAAGAAAATGGTATCTGGYTTACCATCGATTAAATCCCCAAAGAAATTATGTACTACTTGTTTGACTGGGAAACAACATAAGCGACCTGTCCCTAAGAAGAGTTCATGGAGGGCGTCAAAACAGCTTGAGCTGGTGCATTCAGACATATGCGGTCCTATTGATCCAGCCTCAAACAGCAACAAAAGGTACATTTTAAGTTTCATTGACGATTTTTCACGCAAGACATGGGTTTATTTCTTAACTGAGAAATCAGAAGCACTTGTAATTTTCAAGAATTATAAGGCTTTTGTTGAAAAAGAAGTGGGCATGGGCATAATCTGCTTAAGAACCGATAGGGGTGGTGAATTCAATTCAAATGAATTTACAGAATTCTGTAAGAAACAAGGTATTAGGAGACAACTAACAACAGCCTATACCCCCCAACAAAATGGGGTGGCCGAAAGAAAAAATAGAACAATTATGAATGCTGTCCGTTCAGTACTAAACGAAAAATGTGTTCCTAAAACATTTTGGCCCGAGGYTGTAAAATGGTGTGTGCACGTTCAGAATCGAAGTCCTACAGCAGCKGTTGAAAACAGAACTCCAGAAGAGGCCTGGAGTGGAAAGAAACCATGGGYAGATCATTTTCGAGTGTTTGGATGTGTAGCCCATGTACACATACCAGACCAAAAGAGGAGCAAGTTAGATGACAAGAGCAGAAAGTGTATTTTGTTGGGGGTTAGTGATGAATCCAAAGGTTGGAGGCTGTATGATCCAGACTCGAAGAAGGTTCTTAACAGTAAAGATGTGGTTTTTGATGAAGAGGCCAGTTGGGATTGGGGTGCAGCAACATCAGAAACTCAACAAACACCGTTAGAATGGGCAGATGACATATTTGAAGAGGAAGATCAAAGTGATTCGAGCAGCATTGATGAAGAAAGTGATGAATCAGCTCCCAACAATGCAATCACTAGTGCTACCAGCACACTTGCAACTCTATCACTTGGAGAATCATCGCAAGGGAGGGGCACACGAAGAGACAGAAGAGCACCAGTTTGGATGGCTGATTTTGACACTGGTGAAGCACTTGATGAAGAAGAAAACTTAAATGTGATGATGGTTGCTGAAAGTGATCCGGTAACTTATGAAGAGGCTGTTAAAAATAAGAAGTGGAAGGAAGCAATGTTAGCAGAAATTGAAGCCATCGAAAAAAATCAAACTTGGGAGCTTACTGGTCTGCCTAAAGGAATTAAACCCATTGGAGTTAAGTGGGTGTTCAAAACCAAACTCAATGAAAATGGGGAGATAGAAAAGTTCAAAGCMAGACTTGTGGCAAAGGGTTATGCCCAACGTTATGG